AAAACATCTAAGGAAAAAAAGAAAACAAAGTAAATGAATCTAATTCCAGTGTGTAGGACCAACAATAAGAGAAAATAAGGTTAGAGAATCTGACAGACACAACTGAAATCAAGAGCTACCATAACTAAAGACAGTGCTTGACTCATAACTGAAACTAGGATCATAAAATATACATACATATAAAGGACATTACTGGGACAAATGTGGAAAATTAAACATAAACTATATATTGGATAACAGTATTTATTAATGTTAAATTTCCTGAGAGCTAATTATGTTGTGGTTAATAATTAATTATGCTGTAATTAAGTATGTTAGAGAATTATGCACAATGTATTATATAACATGCTGTCCTTGTCCTTAAGAGATGTGTGCTGAAGTACTCTGGGTTGAAAAGTTATGATGCCTGCAACTAACTCAAATGGTTCAGGAAAAAAAAGTAGATATATATAGAGAGATTAATATAAATGCAAGTGTGACAAATGTTAATAATCGGTGAATCTAAGAACAAGATATAAGAAGGACTCTATGGAAAGAAGCACAGGTTTTAGTGATTGACTGGCTGCTGGGGGCACAGAAGAAGGAAACGTTTTGCATGTACATGACACAGAATACTGGTACTGCCACCCAAAAAGGGAAGCTAAGAAGCAACAGTTTTTAGGAGACGCATGTTGAACCTGGCTACGGATAAGAAGTGGCAAGAAGAAACAACACGCTAGAATGAAATGAGAAAGAAATGTCTGAGCAACTGGGACCTAAGAGAGAAGCATGAGAGGGAAAAGAGTAAAGGGAGAGAGGACTGACATCATAATTTACTGGTAGAAGGTGGGAAGAGAGTAAGAGAAAAACCAGGAGAGTTCTATGTGACAGAAACTAAGGCAGGAAAAGGATTAAGGCAGTGCTCCATGGAATGATCAACAGCATCAAATGCTGCAGAAACATTAAAGGTGATGACTGGCAAATGCAATTAGGAAATAATCAGTGAATTTGGGGTACAAGTAAAAACCAGGCTATAGGCTCCAGAAAAAGAACAGATAAAGTAGAAACGCAAGACTGGGTATACATCACTCACTCACTGAAGGAGTTTACCTTAAATGAAATGACAGTTAAAAGGAGCAGCAGAAGCATGGGAGAGCTGTATTCTGTAAGAGGCTGGGGCAAGCTGGGGAATTTATAGTTACAGAAGAAAGAGCAAATAAAGACATCTCAGAGGTGAGCTGAAGTGAGATTTATGATGCATATTAGGGACAGGAAGAGAACTTAGTTCTAGAAATGGAATGGATTAAACTTTCTTCAATACAGGAAGAAAGGGTGAGAGAAGAGGTGAAGAGAGCTGCAGTAATAAAAACAGGACATTGACAAAAATAACTTAGAAGCTGAGAAAGAAATCCCAAGATTAGGAAGAAAAAAAAAACAACTGCCAGGACAGCAGGAATTCAGTCATTTCTGGTCCTTACACAGGCCTCCTGCTCCAGCCACCACTGCATAGGGGAATGGGGCAGCTACCCGTGATGACCCAATGCACAGTCTAACACCATCTGAGGGGAATCCCGACTTGAGGTGGAGAGACTCTTCAATTAAGGATGGCTTTAGAGGTGACATTCTTATTGTCTTATGATAGATCCTTTACCTATCTGAGTAAAAAGACAATTTTCTTCTATCAACATAAGATATGCCTGGATTAACAGCTGCTCTACATTGAGGGCAAAGGTGAGCTTGAAATCCCACTGAAAGAAAGCCACCTGTTGGAAGATACCTGCTGACATTATACGGTGAGTAGAGTGAGATTCGGGTTCCTTGGATCATCACTTTTCAAAAACCTTAGGAGATATGGGTAGCAATTTCCTGATGTCATAGAGCAACTAAAAATAAAACAGTTTTACAACCTTTAAAAGAAATGTGCAGCCACAGCAAAACACTGTATAGAACTCATCTGAAGATAAGACATATGAGAAAGAACAACATTTTTATGGCCTTTTATTTCCTGCAAAAGTCATGTGCAATAAAATAGATGGGACTGAGATTACTTTACTGCTTTAGCAGGTATCCTCACAAATAATTAAAAAACAATTTTAGAATAATCAGAAAAAAAAAAAGTGATTCCTTCAGGAGTTGGAGAAAGAGCTCTCAATATATTTTAACAACTTTTCATGACTAAAAATTCTTAGCTGCTAAAAAGAGAAGACACTCCCTTTAACTTAATAAAGAACATTTACCTTCAAATTTACTATACTTCAAATACTATATATACAGCAAATACTGACAAGAAGAGGACTTCCCTTTTAAATCAGGATCAAAATGAGATGAGCACTATCACCACTTCTATTCAACATTACATTGGAGCTCCTAGTCAGTAGAGTAGAGCAAGAAAAAGACATGAAATGTACAGGATTGAAAAGAAATGAGCAAAATGTTTACAGATAAAATATCAGAATTAGTAAGTGTCTACCATAATTCTGAATTGAACATCAACATGCAGAAATAAAGTGATTTCTATATGATGATAGTAGCAATAAAGGAAAAAATGAATATTTAAAACATCAGTACATAAAAAAACAGGTATCTAAGAACAAATTTAATAAAAGATATGTAAAATCTCTATGGGAAAAACTGTAAAAGTTCAGAGAAACCTCAAAGACCTAAAGAAATAGATACACCATAACATGGATAAAATGATATTATAAAAAGTAAATCCTCCTCAATGTTTTATAGATTCAATGCAATTCCAATCAAAATTCCAACAGGCGTGTATGTGTGTGCATGAGCACATGTGTAACTTAAAAACTGACCCTAAATTGTAAACTAAAATGCAAAGGACCCAAGCTCAACTTCCCACAGGACCCTCAACTGCCTCCTCCAGGTATACCATCCCATAGGCCCCCGAGTTTTCAGGTGTTAGGCAGCTGGCATTCTGAGACAGCTTCTACAGAAAACTGGCACCCAAACACAGATTGTCTAGTATCCAGGCAGTTTGCATACCTCACTAGTAAGTTTGCTCCCTTAGCTGCCTGATAAAAAGAGAGGGCATTGTGGGGAAGGGGGAGGGTATGGGAGGGAGGTGGGGTTCACCACTCTAGCAGAGACAGGCCCTCCCCATGGGGACAACGGGAGGATGGAAGACCAGTGCCTCCTCTTCTACTGCTTGAGAATTTCCTTTCCCTGGTAAAATCTATCCCTTAAATCATGATCTGAGATGTGGATCCGACTTGGTAAGCAACAGGTGACAACTGAAAAGGAATCCACTTTGAAACCAGGTGGTTAGCCAAAGGTAACACCTTATTTCACAATTTTTTTTTTAAATTGCTTTAAAATAATAGTAACAATAAGGCCTATGGAAGGCATTCCTCCATTCCCTCTATATTCTCAAGTCTCTTTAATCTTAACCTTTTTCCCCACTGGTACAGAAGGAAAATGGATTTGAGCTATGCCTCTCCTTGACAGAAATTACCAGACAGCAGCATCTTTAGCAACTAACAGTGAAAGTCACTCAGTCGTGTCTGACTCTGTAACCCCATGGACTGGGGCCTGTCAGGCTCCTCTGTCCATGGAATTCTCCAGGCAAGAATACTGGAGTGGGTAGCCGTTCACTTCTCCAGGCGATCTTCCCAACCCAGGAATTGAACTGTGGTCACCTGCATTGCAGGCTGATTCTTTACCAGCTGAGCTACTAGGGAAGCCCTGGTCTACAACAACTCTTATTAGCTGCAAAGAGGAGGGGTAAGAGGTCTCTGAAGTTTCTAAGATCCTTTCATATGAAAAGAGAGACTGACCACCTCAAAAGAATTGGTGAGCCCCGGAAGCCTTGTGAGGCTATCAGGGAGCCCCAAGTCAAGTACCTATTAATACAAAAGGAATGGGGTTCTGTGATTCTCCTGTACCAGGCTGCTCAGGGAGCCACGCAGTCAAGCCAGATGCTGAGAGAGAAAACGTTACTCCATTCCCACACCCACTGCACTGGCCCAGGAAGTGCCCCAGGAAAACCCTGGGAAAGTTAACTGAAACTGAAGATACTGAGATGTCAAAGTCCTCAAGATGGCAATGATGGATCTAAAAATAACCTGCCTTGTCATGATGAAAACAGATTAATAAAGTATCATGGCTTAGCAATGAGGAACAGTCTCCTAAACATTTTTATCTCCCTCCAAGGGCCATGGATCATAGAAATGATAATCGGTGGGAGAAAGACCAGAGCCAAGCAAACCTAAGATGCACCCACCTCCACCAGTGAACAGCACTGGGTACAGCATGTGCTGAGCTGGATAAAAGAAGCCCCTATCTATCCCCTTGCTGGCTATGTTCCACATATAATTTTGCACATGAGGATGTTAGCCATGTCACTGTTAGATGCTAGCAACTCGTAACTGCGGACATGTACTTTGACCCACTTCAATTCTGCCTGGCAGGCTACAGAATATCAATCACCTGACCTCAAAATATGTTACCGATGTCTCAGTCACTATATTACTCTTTAGGAAAAATGTAAATTTCACTAAGTCAAAAACCCTTGTGTCGGGGCTTCCCTGGCATTCTGGTGGTTAAGACTCTGTGCTTCCAGCGTAGGGAGCGTGGGTTTGACCCCTGGTCGGGGAACTAAGATGCCCTGCGGAGTAGCCAAAAAAAAACCAAGACAACTCCATGCCGTGTTTATTTCAAAGCTTCACTGTGAGTGGACTATACCTAAGAAACTCATTTCAAAATCAACATAAACCTATTTATCTCACCATCGGCCTGGTAGCCATCATTGCCCTAAACCAACAAGTCTGTCTGTGAAAAATGAACCATAATATAGGCCCAGTAATAATCCTGTGTGTGTGTTAAAACTGGTAACAAATCTTAGCAAAGTACTCCCAAAACTATAAACTTAAGTTATTAAATAAAACAAGTTCTAAGACTATCTCCAAAGTTAAAAAAAAAAAATGAAAGGACATGAAAGTGTACAGATGGTTAGAGATGGTCAAAGTTCTTAGCTTCCCAGGAACCCTGGCTTGGGAAAGTAGTACCTTATCCATATGGAAGATCAAATCCAATTCACAAACATTTTCGAAACACTTGTCCAGAGTCTCCACGAAAACCTAGGAAACAAGTAGAAATAGATACACAATTCCTATCTTCATAAAATGTCACATGAGAAAGTAAAGGGGGCAGTCAAGATACTATCTGCCTTATGACAAATCTCAAAAACCAACAAAAAACCCCAATGCACTCCAAACCTCCCAGATGATCACCCTGCTTATTCCAATCTGAAGGGGGCAACTGAGGACAGGACCACCTTGTTTTCAGTATAGCAACACAACCAGCAGACACATGTAGCTTTCTTTCCCCTTTTATAAGATGCTAATTAATTAATATACAAAAGAATAAAAAAATAACTACTTATATTATGTCCTTTCCCCAAGCCGCCACTTACACATGCAAAAAAATTTTTCATTATGATGGTGTTAACAGCTCTGTCCAGCTAATTTCAATGAACGTTAACTTTAAAATACTTTTCCATGAATCAACTTAATTAACATGCTTAACAATTTTAATTTACCTTTAAATATAAGAATTAAACAGAAAAGTATACAAATGATAAGGGTACAGCTTAATGAGTTCAGAATGAACATACCATGTAAATGCCATCCTGATTCTGAAATGCAGCATTAGAGCTCCCTAGAAGCCCCCTCTCCAAAGGTAACCACCATCCTAACTCCTACCATCAATTTAGTTTTGCCAGCCCCTGAATCTACTTAAAAGGTGGCAAATTATCCTTTCCTCACACTGCTACTTACACTCAAGTTTTTCCAAACTAGCCAAGTATCACTGAGGGAATATGTATCACATGATAAAACTATACAGAGAAGCAAAGCAATGATCAACTTAAAAGTCTGAAAAAGTGAATGAGAAGGACAGAACTGAGGAGGGACATATAGGAGATTCAAGGCCCTAGCAACGTACTGTTTCTTAATCTGGGTGACAGTTTCTTCTTTAAATTGGTATTCTTCAAATTATATAGTCATGTTTTCCATATTTGTTATACATACAAGTTTCACAATAAAAATTACTTAAAAACAGCAGCAATCTTATTGAGATTCTGACTGGGTTTTAGTAATTTATAAGCCGGAAGTACAGTTGACCCTTGGGCAACACAGGTTTGAACAGTGCGGGTCCACTTACGCTCAGATTTTTTTCAATAGTAAGCAATGTAGTACTACACAATCTCTAGTTGGTTGAATCAAAGATGAGGAACCATGAATATGGAGGAAATGTGTACACAGAAGAACTGGGTATACAGAGGAACTGGGTATACAGAAGGGTCCACCGTTAAGTTATATGCAGATTTTTAACAGCATGGAGAGTCAGCACCCCTGGCCCCTGTGTTATTCAACGGTCAACTGTACTGACATTTTAAAAGTAACTTATGTATGTATATGTATAATTTAATCATTTTCTCAAAGGCAAAGGGTATGCTTTATTAATTTATTTTGCTCTTTTATCATATTTTCAGCAGAATTTCAAAGTTTTCTCCATATAGATCTTACATTTTTACATTTATCCCTGGGTACCTGAAGGAAATTTTTGCTATCATGAGTGGGCCCCTTTTAAATTTTATGTTTTCTAAGTTATTATTGCTAAGGGAAAGCTACTAATTTTCATACATTAAACCTGTATCCAGTCCCTGAATTCTACTGATAGTTGTTTTCCAATTGTTTTGGATTTTCCAGGTGGATAAGAATTTCATCTGCAACCATTACATACTCTGAAGCCTAGTAAAGCCAATAACTCATCACTGCCCTTTTCTTCTCAAAACATATTTCTGCATTTCTTGGCCATTCATTTTTCCTGATAAACTTTCTCTTCACCAAGTTCAACAAGATCTCCTGGATTTATACTCGGTTTCCCATTTCATCTATTGATCACTACTGTCATCTTTGCTCTCTTTATTCTCTTCCCAGTAAGGAGAACACTTGTAGCGCCACTTATTTCAAGAATTCCTTTATGTTCTTCCTTTAGGATTTTTCAGTTTTATTGGACTCAACGTCAAGTATTCCATACTACGTTAATTTCCAAACATTAAGTATCCTTTGTCACTACTGTAAGTGAAATTTTTTTAATTACGAATTTTCTAGCTGCTTTCACAAGAAAGAGGAAATTCAATTTTGATAAACTGGTCTCATATTCTGCCATTTTGCTAGTATCATTCATTGCCTGTTACAATCTCTGCTCACTTTTTTTCTTTTTTTAAGGTTTTCAGGCCATCTTACAGTGATAACTTACCTCTCTCCTCCTTAACTATGTTATTTATTCACTTCTTTTTTAATCACTCATTACAAATGTTTGCTCAAATTAGAGTGAACGGTAAGAGACACCCTTTTGATAAATGCCTGTAGATTTCTCCCCTGAGAAAACTCTGGCTCTTGGTTTTAAAACTAAAATTGGCTGTTTCTGGGTGACTGGGGGAGAGGAGAAGAAAGATGTTTTCACTATATACTCTTGGTATACCTTTTGAATTTTGAACCACATAAGTGTATTATTTCTTCAACAATAAAAACTGAATAAACATGCACTACATAACCAAGTAAAAATACTTCCTATTCCAATTTAAGAGTACTTCAGAAAAATAATTTGGGTAATTATTTCTCTGAGCATCTACTGGATGAAATTACATTAGTTTCTACTATCTTTCTTATTGCTGTAACAGAGATGTGGCTCAGACGGTGAAGAGTTCACCTGCAATGCAGGAGACCTGGGTTCGATTTCTGGGGTGGGAAGATCCCCTGGAGGAAGAAATGGCAACCCACTCCAGTATTCTTGCCTGGAGAATCCCCATGGACAGAGAAGCCTGGCGGGCTACAGTCCATGGAGTCACAAAGAGTTGGACACGACTGAGCGACTAAGCACACACACAAGAATATTTCATTGTTAAACTGACTTGTATCCTTGGAATAAAGACTATTAGGATATAATGAATAATTCTTTTAGTATGCAGTATTACAGAGAGAAAAAAATTTAGTTAGAAAAGAACATCTTACTTATAAATCAAAACAAATGCTCATACACACAGAGCCAAAACATGAAACAAAAACCCTTACACCAACAAAACATGAATGATTTAAGATCATACTGCTTGTTAATGGGAGAATCCAAAACAAGAGACAGGTCTCATGACTCCTTGCTTCAACAAATAACCAGCTAAGATTTTATTTAATGATTCTGTCCAACAGTAATACGTAATATCTGACTAATATTTTCTTTTTGAGAAGCTTTTGGATCATAACCAATCTACTCCATAAAATAAGCAGTACAATTTTAGTCTGAGTTTAAAAAATAACTTACCTAATAGAGGCTTTCTTGTACTTTTAACATTTAAAAAAAATCTACTGAGTCTATTAGGGAGTCAGTTTTTCATTTAACCTTTATTTCATTAGGATATTGGATTCAAGGTCTTTCTGTGGACCTACTTTGGATATTTATTTTTTGGAGTCAGTTATTTCAAATACATTAGCGTTATAACTATGTATTTCAACCTCTAAAAACATTTTGATGGTTTCTTTTTCTGACTTTTATTCTCTTTTTATTAGGATAACTATTGATTTTATTGTCTTTTAAAAGATCAAACCTCTTACTTCCTATTATCTTCACCTTTTATTTATCTATCTTCCCAAATCTAATATACCCTAAGTATTTAATAAATGTCCATAATATTATAGTCCATAATATTATAAAGTTACATTTCTCTTTGTCTTGTTAACATAGATATCTGAAGTACATCTCCTCCAAAAACTGGAGCTTAATTTAAAAAATATATTATCACTATATTTCATTTATTTTCTAATACATTTGTTACATGCATATTCCTATAGCATTCTATAGTGTAAAATACTTAATACACTGTCACAATTGAATTCTATGACACAGTATTTTAGATTTTTTTAGTTGAAATATAGTTGACATATAATAATGTTAGTGTCAGATATATTACATAGTGATTTGACATTTGCATTGACATTTTATCATAATAGATAAAATCAACACAGTTAAGACTAGTAACCATCTGTTTCCAAATACAGTTATTGAAATATTATGGGTCATATTCCTTAAGTTGTATATTATATCCCCAGCTCATCTGTTTTACATCCAGAGGTCTGCACTCTTAGTCCTCTCTACCTGTGCTGCCCTCCCTCTATCATCCTTCCTTGACAACCATCTACTTGTTCTCTGCAAATCTGTTTCCATCTTTACAACCTAACATTTCTATATCAGATGGTGGATCCATGACTCAAACCCAGGTTTTCTGATTCTAGATCTTGAGCTCTTTCCATTATACCACATTGACTCTCAATATCCAATTTGACTCGGGTGTTAAGAAAGCATTTAAAATTACCACAGAGATAAGTCTTTTTGGCTGTTTCCAGTATTTATTTATACTTCTATATATGATAAGTGAATATGATATACGAAAATTTTAAACTAATACTAAACCATTTTCTCGATGTGAATGGGTAAAATATATAAATAAAATGAAAAGTTGCTATATCCAAGAATATAACTTTTTGGAAGATAATAGTATATGTAAAATAAAAGTACACATTCAAAATTTCCATTTCTTTATCCTAAAGTTTATTAAATTTAGCTTCTTTAATTTTATCTTAACAAAATACAGTTGTAAATAAGTAAAGTTTATATTTTATAGCTAGAGTTTTCTATAATTGGTGTTATTAGGTTTTACACAAGCTCTTTTTGAGTGCTTTCAACTTAAGTGACTTGTTGAAGTCACACAAAGTCTATCTAAATATAATGTACCAAATAATGGAATTGTCCTAATTAATGGTTCCAAGTATAGGGTCCCACATACCTCAATTTCCATGAAAGTAATGAAAACAAATCTGTAAGCCATTTCTAAATTTCAAAAAGCCTAAAAGAATCATGTTTATCTATGTCAAGGCTGCACATATTAGACAAAATATCAAGTTCCTTTGTTTCAGGCTAGAATTACAAGTGAAAATATAAAGTATGTATTTTAAAATATCATTTAGTTTGATACTTGAAAAAAATTTCAAAACATGACATGATAGTATAATTTATAATGACAAGTATTTGGTATCCATCCTTGTTGCTGGCTCCTAAAAACCTTGGAATTTCCAAAGTAACAGGGTTGTCTTGTTCTACTAATAAGGTTAACTTTTGTAAAGCACCAAAGAATGGGGGCTGGTTGCCATGGGAACCAACTGTAGGACCGGAAACTTTGAGTCCCACTTACTGATCTCTGGGAGGGGAGAGGGGATGCAGACTCAATCACCAATGGGCAATGACTCAATCAATCATGTCTATGTAAAGAGACCTCCATAAAACCCAAAAGGGACAGGTTTCAGAGAGCTTCTAGGCGAGTAAATGTGGAGATTTGAGAGTGGCGTGCCAGGAGAGGGCACAGAAGCTCCATGCCCTTTTCCCCTACCTTGTACTATGCATCTCTTCCATCTGACTGTTCCTAAGTTAATATCCTTTCACAGTAAGCTAGTAGAGAGTAAAATGTTGCTCTATAAAGTTCTGTGAGCCACTCTAGCAAATTAACTGAACCTGAGGAGGAAATCATGTGGGGAGGCAATCTTGGGCATATTCAATCTACAGGTTGTCAGTCAAATGCACAGGTGACAGACAACCTGGACCTGACATTGGTATCCATCTTCAGGTAGATAAGTGTCAGAACTGAGTAAATTTGTGGGACCCCTGGTGAGTGTCCATGGAGAACTGAGTTACCTGCTTCAGGTGCGGGGTGGGGGGCGTATACATATAGGAATTGGTGTCAGACTCATAAGAAAACCAAGGGCAGTGAGAGAGCTGGAGAAGCAAAGAACCCAAAAGCGCTAAGAACGGTTGAGGGTTGCTAAGGAGCTTTCTCATAGCACCACCTGGTGGACATGCAGCAATGTTTACCACTATCAATAAAGAGACTGACTAAAGGATCTACATACAGATGAAAAATTTTTAGCTACTACAGATTTTTAGCTACTAAAAATCCATACCAAACTCTCTGAAGTGGCTACTATCATTATGTGCTACACATACCTGGATAAGGTCCAAGATCCCAAGTTCACTCTCTGAGGAATCCACACAAAATACAAAGTAGAGGGTAGCATAATGCCGATAAATCAGTTTGTAGTCAGAGCCACCAATCAAACTGCAGAAGATGGGAAACATTTAAAAGCTTGTATTTGAATTGAACATATCAAAGACAAACTCTGTGCCAAGGAATGAAAATGGGCCCAAAAGAAAGAGGGAGGGTAGGCCAAACAATAGGCCATTTCCACCAAGTGAAGGGCAACCAAATTTGGCAGAGGTGCTTAAAGCCATTTTACTTCATTTTTTCTTCTACCCATCCTCCCAGGAACCAAACATTTAAATATCTGAAGCACAATCATTTAATAGCTTCCCAAACAGAGTTAAGTCTCTCCCTGAGCAGACTATGCTTAGCTCAGCTCAACTGCATCAGATACTCACCCAACACTTAAGCACTGCCTGAGGAAGCAATAATGGCATGATGACGAGCACTCGAAAGTGCATATATGGGGAGAAAACTGATGATTTACCTTCCACCCTCCAAGAAGTTACAGATGTTGTCATCCCGTTTGAGAACTAAATGAAAGGTCTCTCGAACAATCTGCTGCTGAATTTCTTCTGGCTATGGAATAAAAGAAATAAAGTGAGTCAGTGGAAAAGCCTGAAAAACTATATCCCATCAAAGAGGAGAGACAGGAAGCCAAGTGCTTCCAAATAGGAATGATCTGAACATTTGGTACCAGTTTCCTGAAAAGACAAAAATGATGAGTAGAGGAAAAAATAAAAGGAGAATCTATAGAAAATGGAAAAGGCTCTGTTACAGGAAATAAAATAGGGTATATTTACCTAGATATCTAGTCCCTAACCATTACTGTCCTGCTAGGTGAGCTGATATTTCTCATACAAGGTCAAAGAATTCACATAAAACGTTGAAGAATATCTAGAAGGCACAGTCCTGAAATATTTTATATTACCCTAGAAAACATCTATGCCAGGACAAATAACATATGTTAATAGATCTACCACTGTAAGGAAGTCAAGATGTAATCATGTACATGTTTTAAAAACCTGCATGAGAGTCCCTTGGACCGCAAGGAGATCAGATCAGTCAATCCTGAAGGAAATCAGTCCTGAATATTCAGTGAAAGGACTGATGCTGAAGCTGAAACTCCAATACTTTGGCCACCTGATGCGAAGAACTGACTCAATGGAAAAGACCCTGATGCTCGGAAAGACTAAAAGCAGGAGGAGAAGGGGACGACAGAGGATGAGATGGTTGGATGGCATCACCAACTTGATGGGCATGAATTTGAGCAAGCTCTGAGCTGGTGATGGACGGAAGCCTGGCATGCTGCAGTCCATGGGGTTGCAATCAGAAACAACCAAGTGACTGAACTGAACTGAATACCAGTAATACAGACATGTATATAAGATGCTGTGTGACCAACAAAGCACTATTGAGAAAGCATAAAATATTCTATTGAGAGATTTGAATTTTGAACAATTGCAGATCTACAAATACCTTTTTTCACTTACTATTCACTTACTACACACCAGAAAGCTCAAATGTAATGGGATCTCTTGATGACCCACATTTAATTTCTATTTATACATATGAGGTTCATATTAAGTATGTTAAAAAAAAAAAAAAAGGATATGGAGAGGGAGAAATCAGTCATTTAAACAAAAACAAGGACTTCCCTGGCAGTCTTGTGGTTAAGACTCTGCACTTCCACTGCTAGGGGTGTGAATTCAAATCCCTGGTTGGGGAACTAAGATCCCACATGTCTCTCGGCCAAAAAGAAAAAAGTAATTAAAAGCCCTAGACCAGTACTCTCAAATCTCAATGTATAATGGGATTTCCCCAGCGGTCCAATGGTTAGGACTCTGCACTTTCACTGCTAAGGACACAGGTTCAGTCTCTGGCGGGAGAAGTAAGATACCTCAAGTGAGGTGTCTCAGCCAAAAAAAAAGCAACAACAACAACTCAGTGAGTTTGAATAATGAATCACCTGGAAATACTGTTAAAATGCAGACTAATTTAGTAGGTCTGGGGTAGGTCCTGAGACTGCAGTTCTAACAAGTTTCCAGGCAATAAGAATGTTACTGATCTGAGAACCATTTTGAGTAGCAAAGCTTAAGAAAACCCTCAGACTGGACTTACCCTCAGTCAGAAAATAAACTCAAGTAACATTAACCCCTTTCCCTATATAGCACTGAATTTAGGCTAGAAGTGGTTATTTAAAAGAAACAGAAGAAAAAAGAGGAGAAGCATCATTGTGGAGCAATTACTTTTTATAACTTTGACTTACACAGGTACACAGTGGCTCTCCATATTTAATGAATGGATGAATAATAAAAACTTGCTAATAACTGGTCACTGTAAGTTTAAGTAAATCAATCACTATTTTCTGGTTTCCATTTAAAAGAACTCACAAAGTTCACAGACGCCAGGATGCTGTAAAGGTTTAACTCTATGTACCCAGAAATACACATCATGCTAAGCACCAGCATTTTTAAACCAAAAAAAAATCTTGAAAACTAAAGCCTTTTATCTGACTTTACCAGGAAGTGATGGTAGTCAGTGGGTAAACAGTATGAAATGGTGAGGCTACCAACTTCTAATTCAACAAAATAGTGAATTACCAATGGCTTTACATCTCTCAGTGATTTTCATAATCCCTCATATCTTTTAGTACTCTGCAGTTTCCAAGGTTATTTTCACTCAGGAGCTAATTTAGTTCTTAAAAATCCTACGCTCTCCGGAGAAGATATACAAATGTCAGTAAGGGCACGAAAAAATCAGTCATTAGGAAAAAACCAAAACTACAAGGAGAATCCACTTAACACCTACTAAAATGTCTTTAATCAAAAAGATAATAGAAAGTGTTGACAGAGAGATAGAAAAATTAGAATTTAAAAAAATATTTACTTTGGGCTGCGTTGAGTCTTAGTCACAGCACACAGGCTCAGTAGTTGCAGCATTGGCTTAGTTGCCCCAGGGCACGTGGGATCTTAGATTCCCCAATCAAGGATTCAACCTGAGTCCCCTGCATTGGAAGGTGGATTCTCAACCTCTGGACCATCAGGGAAGTCCCAAGCTGTATTTCTTATATATTGTTGATAGGAATGTAAAATGGCATAGCCACTTTAGAAACCAGTTTGGCAGTTCATCCAAATGACAACTACAAAGTCACTATGTGACTCAGCAATTCTACTCCGAGATACATACCCAAGAGAAATGAAAATACACACTCACACAAAAAGCTTATACAGGAATGTTTATAGCAGCATTATTCACAAGAGCCAGGGGTAGAAACAGCATCTGATGAATGGGTAATCAAAATGTGATAGATCCACTCAATGGAATATGTGCCAAGTCACTTTACTAGCGTCTGACTCATTACTACCCTGGGGACTGTAGCCCACCAGGTTCCTCTGTCCATGGAATTCTCCAGGCAAGAACACTGGAGTGGGTTGCCATTTCCTCCTCCAAGGGATCTGCCCCACCCAGTCACTGAACCCAGGTCTCTTATGTCTCCTACATTGGCAGGCAGGTTCTTTATCACTAGCACCACCTGGGAAACCTATCTATGGAATGTAACTTGGCAATAAAAAGGAATAAAGAACTGGTAACACTACAACATGATGAACCTTGAAAACGTTATACTAAAAGAAAGAAGTCAGTAATAAAAGACCACATATTGTATGACTCCATTTTACATGAAATGTCCAGAACAGACAAATTTAGAGAGAAAATGGATCACTGGTTGCCTAAGACTAGGGGAACTGAGGAGGAAATACAGAATAATTGCTAATGGGTAGGGATTCCTTTGGGGGATAACAAAAATATTCTGAAATTGTGGTGATGGTTGCATAACTTTTAAAGTACTAAAAACCATTCCACTGTATATTTTTAAAAGGTGAACTGTATGGTATGTAACATATCACAATAACACTTTTAAAAATCTGAGAAAAATTCACACACAAATGCAAACTGAATAGTGTCACTGAATGTTAATATAAATCGATATGATTTAATAAAATGTAACCAAGCTAAAAATTCTATTTAAAAGGTACTCCAAAAAATTTCTTTCATTTCTATTCATTCTATTTAACAAGAGGAAATAAAGTCTGAAAGAGGTTTATTAACATAAGGATTTTTTAAAAAAAGGTGTTGCTGAGGCCTGAACGTTTAAGTTTTCTGACACTTTCCCCTTTATGGTTTTCTCAGTCCACCAATTATGTATGTAACATTTTGAAACCTAGCCACGAAGAAATAAAATGTCGGGGTGCAGGAGGCAAATAATGATGCTTATTTTTTTCAGAGGAACGTCTTTGTAAAATTCGAACTTGCATTATCTATCACTCACTGAGCCCTCGCGCGGCAGGATTTATAATTTCTCAATATTTCCCACTTTGAAACTTTCTTCAATTCTACAGAATGAAAGATGTCTAGTCCCTGGGCACTCCTAGCCTACACTGAAGTAAAACAATTCCAAGAAAGCATTTTTCAAATCCTCTGGCTAAAGCAAAACCATTAAAAAGCTGTATATTTCTTCCTCCTCGGGAAACTGGTCGTTTAGCGACCAACAAGATTGGTAAGACTTCGTCCAAGCTGTCAAGGAGACACACCCCCACCACCATTTAAAGTGCCCGGAGACTCTGGGAGAAGTGTCCCAGAATGGCACAGAAATGCCGGGGTCCAGGAAGAGGGAGGAAAGAGCCGGTGAAGCGTCGCGTGGGACCCAAGGCCTGAGACTGGAAGAGTCCTTCCGGGACTTCCCGTCTTCAGAAGGCCGAGTCTGGGGTCACTCATGCTGCCTGACCGCGAGGTCAGCGGGCGCTGCTGCGTGCGCCGTACGGCCCAAAGAAAGGGAAGGGGGCGCAGGCGCCCTGAAAAGATGTGACGAAGCTGCGCACTCACGAAACGCTGGTAGAATCGGACCAGCCGCGGCTTCCCGTGGTTATTGAAAACCAGAATCGCCTGAATCATCTTTGTCTGCCACGCTCCTTTCACCACCGGCTGCTTCCAGAGAGCCTCTCCTTCCGCCACAACAAGGACGCTTCCGGCTGGTGCGCTGCTGAGAGTGGTCCCCGGAAACATGTCCTGGCGCCCAGAGGCCTGACCACGAAGAGTCCGGCTTCCCGGCAAGCCTTGGAGGAAAGCTCTCCAGGATGGGTGGCTGGCTGGCGGTGGAAAGGCTGCTGCCGACACTGAGTTTGGGGAAGGCCGTCATCTTGGCTGGCGTTGGTTGCCCACTCAGGGCCTGGCCAGGACACGAACCCGGCTCTCTGCCCTTTGTCTAGAACGACTGCTTTCCGCAGAATCCCGGCCCTGCGCAAAGCCGAGCCCGTCGGAAAAGGATGGGATGGAGAAGCAGAAACCGCATAAGGAGCTGCGCCCCCAGGTGAAGACCTTCGTTTATCGTGGTCTGCGTTAACGCACACGGTCATGCCTTTCGCTTGACACTGCAGACGTTCCGAAAATTAGGGAACATCTTTACTTTTTAGTATTACAAACAGTGCCGCAGTGAATTACATATGTGCCTCCTCGTGCAAAAGGGCTGTCTCTCCATGGTAGATAGCGAATGGTGGAATTAAGGGATCTTTAATGCAATTCCTTTTAAAAGGTACCTGCGACCCCAAATTGGTAGGGTTTGTATTTTAATACCTTAGTGGGGGGTGAGTGGAGCACGTCCTTATATTGCAGACAGAGCTGCAAATGGGAATTAACCTGCCCAAAGGACAGTTGACGATATGTATAAAAAAGCCTTTAAAATATATTTAACATTAGACCCAGCATTTGCAGCTTAGAATTTATAATAAAAGGACTGTGGATGTGTGAAAAGATTTAGCCTCAGGAACATGCATCTCAGCATGTTCCCTGGGGAAATGGGAAGCAACAACTCATTATTCAAATGAGAAATTGGTTAAATGCATTGATCCACGTGCATATGAGAAATATTAAAGTTATAAAAAAATCATGTTGTGAAAGGTTTATGGTCCACGGAAATGTTCATGGCATAGCTGTAAGTGGAAAGATTACACGAAGTATATACAGGGACACCGTACTTTTTGTAAAAGACTAGAAGTATATACCCCAAAGGGCTTGCCTGGTGGCTCAGTGGTTAAGAATCCACCTGCCAAGCAGGAGAGGCAGGTTTGATCCCTGGGTGGGGAAGATGCCCCGGGGGCTAAAAATGGCAATCCACTCCAATATTCTGCCTGGGAAATTCCATGGACAGAGGAGCCTGGCGGACTACAATCCATGAGGTCGAAGAGAGTTGGACATGACTTAGCAACTAAACAGCAGCATCAGCATAGCTATTAACATATAAAATTTTTATGTTTGTAAATCAATTTTTTAATGGAAAAGTTTTTAAAAAATGGAAAATGGTTATATTTAAAATATAACTGACCAACCCAAAAGACCTTCCCCCTCAGTAATAAATGGGCAAAGGAACTGAATAACAAACAAGGATATACATCTAGGAAACAAAGATGAAAAATATATTTAAGCTCACTATTAATGGGGGAAAAGGCTAATTAAAGTATTAACTTTAAAATTAAAGTATTATTTTCACCTTGTCAATATCAATTGTTAAAATATTATCACATCCAAATCTGCCAAGAATAGCATGAAAATAGTCCTTTTCTGCCTTGCTGGTGAGATAATTTAGTAAAGCAATCTGGCAATATGACAAGATCTATACAAAGAATTCCTAGATTTCCAGTAATCTAACTCCTGGGAATCCATCCCTAAGGAAATAACCCCCAAAATATAGTCAGGGAGGAGGGGTAGGCGGGTGAGAGAACTGTGTAGCTTAAAATAGTTTTTGACACAGCTCCAAATAGGGATCAGTTAATTACCAAATTTTGGAAAATGACAGAACTATTCAGCCTGCTTCTGCTGTTTAGTTGCTTCAGTCCTGTCCAGGCTCCTCTGTCCATAAGATTCTCCAGGCAAGAATACTGGAGTGGGTTGCCATGACCTCCACCAGGGGCTCTTCATTAAGGCAATCAATCTTAAAAACAATGGTATGAAGACTATGTAACAATATAGACAATGGTTATATAACATCAGTTGAAAAAGGATTATCAAATTTTATGTGTTGGTATAATAGTGCAGTAAGCATGTACAGAAATTGTATATTCCAAGGTCAGGCCACTCCCCTATCTCCATGGCTTTGGAGGCCCTCTTCTCTTGCTGCAAAGTCCCTTTCCACCTGCCTGCCTCAGTATCTTCCCATCTCCCCTGCTGCTGCTGTAGACCAGATCACTCTAGGCTCTCACCCCCGCCACGGCATCAATCTCCTATCTGGGCTCATTCCCTTCAGTTTCTCTGCAGTCAAGCAATCTTTGAAATATACAAATCAGATCATATTACTCTTCCTGGGATCACTGGCTTCCAAGATATTAAGGATAAAGTCCCAAAACATCAACACTTAACATGCTGAAGATGCCATGCCTGACCTCCAGCCTCTCCTCCAACGCAGTTCCACTCCCATCACTCTCAGAGCTCCAGCCATGATGGCCTTTTCCTTCCAGAAGCCTGTCCCCAACCTGCTGAGACCCCGGAGCCTAGCTGTTGCCCCCGGCTTCCCCGATTGAGACACTGTGCCTGCTTATTTAGGATGTTGGCCCGCCCACAGAAGCTTGCCCTACCCTTTGGGCAGCAGGATGCCCTCCCTGGGTGCCTCTCCCCAAGTCAGTGTCCCCAGTCCTCNAAAAAAAAAAAAAAAAAGATATGGCTGTCTTCTTATAGGGAGGTTGCTCAGTTTATACCTAATAATAAAACAGTCAGTGTAGAGGAATCCTTTCCTGAAATTTTACTCATTCATAAAAAATTCTCAAGGTACAAAACAAGAAAAAAAGGTGTTATCCAAAATGTGGCCTGTGGCCTGGTGGAGGGAGTCAGAGAGGAGACCAGCTGGCCATACCTGTGAACGAGCTCAGCCTCTATAAAAAGATCATCCCCAGGAAAACAGCCAAGGGAGATCGGGAGACAGGAACCCCAAAGGTAGCAGAGAACCAGAGGAAGAAAAAGAACTGGCAGTTCTGGGGGCCGAGAAGGGCATGAGGGGAGAGGAGGCTTGAGCAGGAGGGCAGAGGCCCCTAACACAGAGGACTGGGGAAGAGGGCAGCTGCAGGAGGAAAGCAGGAAATAGGACAGAAGGAGGAGGCCCCGCTAACTTCTCGGAGCCATTCTGCGTACAGATGAGGGATTCCCCCCAGTTCTGCAGCAAGTCCAGATCTTCTGATTGCCCCAGGGGGGCTTGCCCCCTGCCTGCCTCCACAAACAAGGCTGCCGCTCAGGGCAAGGGCCACCATGAAAATGTCTGGGGAAGGCTAGACTCACATCCAGGGAAGGACCCTCCACGAGCCACAGCCTTGTGCCCCACGGTTAACATCGGGGCCTTAGATTTGATTTTAGCAGAGCTTGTTCGAAGAGTATATTCCACAGCGGCTGTAGGGAAGAACCAGGTAAGGTTTGGTGGACCTGGTCCCCTGAGCTTCAGAGTGAAAGTTGATGGGAGAAATGCTCAATGGTGCCAGTGGGTCCTGGAGGTACCCCATCTCTCCTTGACCTCAGTCATCCTAGAGGTAAAGAGAGATGAACAGTATATTTCATAAACGTCTTCTATTGTCATCAAACAAGTGTTCTATCAAGTGGTACTGGTCAAGCCCTCGGCTACCTGCCTTGGCCTCATCTCATTAGCATTGGCCCAGGGAGCCAGCTTGGCAATTCTCATTATTTGATAGTCCAAGACTCACTTTATTAAGACAAAAGGGAATCCATTTTCTCTATCTGCCCTGTTTTCTCTGGCTAATGTCTTCACTTCATCAGCTAGATAGCCCATTTTTCTGAGACTTGGTTTTAAATGTTCAATTTGGGAGTCTTTTGACATCAATTCAAATCTTTGGGTGAAATACAGCTCAAAAAACCAAATCAACTGTGAATCGGTTAAGGATCAACTAGGGGGCTGACCTTTTGAGCCAAAAAAGCTTTTAAGGTCCAAGTCAGCCATCTTCCAGCCACTCTGGGCAGGAAGCCCAGAACAGAGCTGGGGGGAAATGTTCATTCAGTGGCTCAACACGGCTAATGTATTCACTTGAAGTGGAAATATTTGGAGCCTTCCTGGCATTAAGTCTCCTTGGTTCCCCTCTGCGCTCCCTTTTTCTGTCCCTTACTTTTATAAATCTGTGGGGCTCTCTTGTTGATTGGCACAGTTCAGGCCCACCAAGAAGAAAGGTCCCTTCATACCTTGAGGGGCTTTTCATCAGGCTCACACTCAGGAATTCCACCAAAGCTGGGAGTAAAGTTAAGTTGCTGTCTCTTTCTCCTACCACCCAGCCACAACCAGTCCATACAAAACTCCTGCCAAGAGATAAACCACACCAACACCTGGTCCACGGTCATCTCCCTGGACCTACCCACTCCTCATCCTCTGCGCCATCCCCCTGCTCTCGGGTCTCACTTGCAGCCCCCCCCGAAGACTTTTGGGCCATGATGTTGTCCGTCCAGGATGCTCCCGTCTTCCCATCTCCAGCGAAATTACACTTGGTCACTGTTCCAGCCTCGAGTTTGGCTAATGAATCTGAAAGCAGAAGTTCAGAATTCCCTCATACTCTCCTCCTTTCCCTCAGAATTCCCTCATTCTGTCTTGCCTCTCTCCATGTGGTGGAAACCTAGCGGGGCCTGGCCCTTCTGCTGGGGTCCTCTAGGCTTGAGGGTGCTCAGGGAGCCCGTGGAGGGGACCCCAGATAGGAGAAGTCACCCACAGAAACCAGAGGATTGAGCAGCACCCCAGGATCCAGAACATCCAGGCTGTTGCCCTCCAGGCCACTTGTCCAGGGAACTGAGGAATCAATCTCAAGAAGTCATGTCTGCAGGGAGGCCGGACCTGACCTGCTCTGTGAGCCCTAAGCAGGAGGGGTGGGGGGTCCTCAGGAAGGAAGCCAGGAGCCCCCACAGGCCATACAGGGGCATCAGGCCATAGCGAGGGCTGCACTGCTCACCCAGGAAGGGGCTGTCGCCTCGAGTTTTCAGCCGTACCCCAGCCCCGAGTTCGAGCTCCATGGCCTCCATCTCTGACTCGGGCATCCAGAAGGCTACTGTCTCAGCGGGGGTGAGGCTGTCTGTCAGCGCAAGCAGCTCCGGCTTATTCACCAGCCCCTTCAGCGCCTCGAGCGTCAGTCTGTCCGAGTCACCCTTGGCTTCCACCTCTGCAGTGTAAATGTGAAGTGTGCAATAAATGCTCTCTGCCAGCTGTCCCCCTGGGCTTCCACCAGCACGAGGTGGTCGTTACCACTTAACAGCAAGCACCCTGGGAGGGCTCTTTAGAAGCCAGCTGAGGGCTGACTGTTGTACCTGCTCACAAACACCCGCACTCCCCTCCTGCCCCTGCTCATTAAGGAGCGCATGCAGGGGGTTATGGGTAAGGGCTCTGGAGCCAGGCTGCCTGGCGCACATCTGCTTTACATGCTGTGTGACCACAGGCAAGCTACTTAACCTCTCTGTGCCTGACAAATAGGGTGAAACATGGTACCTACCCGATGGGACTGACACAAGGTATAAAAGAAAGATCTAGTGTATATAAAACGCTTAGCATGAGGCCCAGCACACTGCAAACCCTCAGCAGGCATCAGTGTTTTTACTGTCCCTATTTACAAATGAGAAAACTAGGGCTTAGAGAGGTTAAGTAATTTGCCCAAGGTTACACAGCTAGTCAGCGGACGAGGCAGGATTCAAGCCCTTCACACAATTCTGCCGTCCCAGGGACCAGGCAGAGGTCTCCCCTGGCTGGGATGGGGTCTGCTAGAACCAGCAGCAAACTTGGATGGTCCTCAGATTCTCTACTGGCCTGCTTATCCTGGCCTGGGCAGAGCGCAGGGGCTCAGCCAGGGTTCCAACAGCCTCTCACTGCCTACCCTGGAAGTCCCAAATCTGCTGATCTCAGCTTGGGGGTGGGGAGAATGATCCCACCAGACTGCAGGAGACGGGAGACACTGGGAAGGCACCAGGCCCTCAGCACTGAGGCGGGGCACTGGGGACCCTCTGAGTGAACGGAGGGCAGGAAGAGTCCAGCCAGATGGCCCTCAGACCAGATGCCGACTTCAGTCATGCTGAGAAGACACTTTCTGGCGCCTAAGAAACCTCTGGAGGCAAAGAAAGGCCACAGTGAAGGATGGCCCCGGGGTAGGAAGGACAGGGGGTACCTACTGTAAGAGGACATGAGGAAGCCCGTGTTCACCTTCCTGGTGGCGCTGAAGTTGGGCTCAATTTCGTTTCCCTTGGGGTCGAACTTACGGCGATGGATGCGACTCGGCCGGATATACAGCACGTAGTAGCGCTCCTGGGGCCAAGCAGAGAGAGAATGAGGGGCTGTTCACTCCCTTCACCCCACAACGCACACACTCCCCACATGCTCTGGCTGCAACCCCCCAGCCTCACTCTCTACCCTAGAATCCCACCTTGGCTCCAAAAGGTATTCAAGCTGGCCAGAGGGCCCCCACTCCCAATATTCATTCATTCATTCACATGTTTAGTAGAGCATGTGCCACACGTGATGAACCATGGCTACACGTCCATAAGAGGGCAGGTTCAGAGCCCAACCCCACAGCCTCCACACGGTCAGAGCCAGAAAGAATAGAAAACCATAACCCAAGGACCCCAAATACCACGAAGCAGAAGTAGCAGCCAAGATGCCACAAAAAGGGCACTGAAATGGAGTTCTGAGTGAGGACTGCCACTGTTCCCCTTCCAACAAATGTGGGTTCTGCAGCAGCATGCGACGCTTAGCCTCAGTTTCCCCTGTTGCCTGGAGACAACGCGAGGTCTACTTTCAGGCATGTTGTAAGGATTCAAGAGAGAACAAAGGAGCAAGCACAGTGTAAACATGAAGTGTGCCATACATGCTGTCTGCCAGCTGTCCTAATCAAAACAGGAGACGACAATGTTGTAAGTCAAATATACATCAAGAAAATTTTAAATAAACACTATAATCCAAAACAAAAACTAGAGATTGAAGAAGAGGAACCCACCACCTGGGACAAACAGGGAAGGCAAGTTCTCATGGTGTGGAGAAACCTGCAACTGTGCGAGGAAGGGTGTAGGAAGGATTTTAAAGGCCTGGACAGGTACAGAAAATAAAAGGCAAGGTCTCACATGGACGTCTGAACAACGGAGGGGCCTTGGAAGCCTCATGGGAGTCTGAGCTGCAGAAGCACACGGGGGATGATGTAAGACAGGCCTTGAGTTGGCATCTGTAGTTTGGATTTTACATGGTGGACCAGAGGGAATCCTGAAAGGTTTCTGAACAGCACCTAGACTATGACAGATGTCTTTGAGGAGACCAGCAGGCTGCAGGGCAGGGATGGGCACCAGGTGCAGCCAGAAGGCAGGAGAGGAGATGCAAGGTTTAATCAGGACAGGCTGAGTTCCTAAGGGCCCATGTGGGGACATGGAAGGCGGGGTGTGACATCATCAAGGTAGGAAACCGGTAGGACCAAGCATTACTCACTTAGGGGCGCGGGGGAGGAGATTGGAGGCTTGCATGCTGGTGGTCGCGGGCATATAGTGATTGTCATTAGAACAAGGAGCGAGGAGACGGAAGGTTTGGAGAGGGACTGGAGAACACCCTGCAGAGGACAGCTGGGGCAGTCCAGCCCCACATCAGCTCCTGCTGGGCTCTGCTGGGCAGGCTGGCTGGGGTTATAGACTGGGGTGCTCATTCTGCTGACCCCCGTGCTAAGGAAGGGAGGGCAAAGCAAAGCATCTCCTGGCCTGAAACATGCTGAGCTGGAAGCTGAGGGTTCACGAGGGGTGTGGGTGAGAAACTGGCTCCAGGTAGCTGCAAGGCCTCTGGAACTTGCTGAGCTCAGGTTTAGAGATCAAGGAGATAAGTGGGTCAGTACATCTGGGTGGGGTTATTTGGAAAGGAGGAGGGATACAGATTTAGAACTTGTTGTTCAGTTGCTAAGTTGTGTCTGACTCTTTGTAACCCCATGGACTGCAGCACACCAGGCTTCCCTTCCTTCACCATCTCCCAGAGTTTGCTCAAACTCATGTCCATTGAGTTGGTGATGCTATCTAACCATCTCACACTGTCACCCCCTTCTACTCCTGCTCTCAATATTTCCCAGCATCAGGGTCCTTTCCAGTGAGTAGGGTCTTTTCCAGTGAGTTGGCTCCTCGCATAAGGTAGCCAAAGTTACGGAGCTTCGGCTTGAACATCAGTCCTTCCAATGAACATTGAAGGTTGATTTCCTTTAGGATTGACTGGTTTGATCTCCTTGCAGTCCAAAGGACTCTCAAGAGTCTTCTTCAGCACCACAATTTCAAAGCCTCAGTTCTTCAGCACTCAGCCTTCTTTAAGATCCAACTCCTACATCCATACACTACCGGAAAAACCATAGCTTTGACAATATGGACCTTTGTCAGCATAGTGATGTCTTTGCTTTTTAATACGCTGTCTACGTTTGTCATAGCTTTTCTTCCAAAGAGCTTTTCAGAACTAGTGCTCAGGAAAGAAACCCTTGCTAGTAGGGGATGGTGAATGCCAGCCAGATGTGTTCATGGATACCTGAGATGGGGGATGATACATCAGGGTGTGACACCAGGAGGCTGAGAGGACAAGAAGAGAAGGGCATGGACGGGGGACTAGAAGCCCCAGGTGGTATCAGCAAGGCAGACTTCACATTTGAGCTGGAAACAAAGGCCCAGAATACAGCAACCCTCCTCCCACCTCAGGGCTCCACACTCATGCATACGCGAATGTCCAGGTCCACACTGGTGACCTGCTTTATAAAAATCCAACATTCCAGAACACCCAGCCACACAGGGACATTAAAAGGTGAGCAAGGGAATTCCCTGGCAGCACAGTGGTTAGCACTCCGTGCTTCCACTGCAGGGAACCTGGGTTTGATCCCTGGTCAGGGAACTAAAATCCCCGCAAAATAAGCTATACGTGGACCAAAAAAAAAAAAAAAAGGGATGCGAAAGCCCTGCTAAGATATTCACCATTCTGCAAATGGAGTTGCTTCAGGGCTCCTTCTGAAAGCAAACTCCAACAGTACATTTAAAGTAATTCAACTCCAAACAACTCAAGGTACACATGATTTCCCAGCCACACAGCTGGTACCCCAAAGGAGAAGGTCACTCGCACGTATATAGGCAGGTAACTTTGGCTCTGACCTTGTTCATCAGGTCTGGAAACAGTGGGAACCACCAGACCAGAACAGAGGGGCCAGGCCCTCAGCCCAGAGCCACTCATCCTGCCTACCCAGAGAAGTTCCCAGCATTCTAGTTCTGTTCCATCAGGAGACAGGACCTCTTCAGACGGCCTTCCAGCCCACTCAGAACCCACAGCTTGAGTCCTGAACCACTGACCTCACCCCATCTGCTCTCAGCCCTCCCAGTCCCGCCCCAAACACACCCCTTGGTTTAGGGCCTCATCTGTCTTCTCATCAAGAACCCAGTCCCCACTCCACCCCCAACCCTGGTCTGTCTGCCACCCAGCACAGCCCTACTGATCCCTTCCATCCGTGGCCCCTTTTGGTTGCCAATCTACCAGTCAACCCTTTACCTGCCCTGTGAGCCCCACAAGGAAAGAGCTGGACCCCAAGTCTTGGCACTGGCAGAGCCAGAGGGAGGTACCCTGGTGGGTGGGAACCCTGAAGCCAGTGCCCTGAGGGCGCCCTCTGGGAAACATCCTCACCTTCCTGCCGTGGGCATCCGAGATGCTGTGCCGGGATACATCGAGCAATTCTCCCTCGAGCAGGACACCATCTCCCCTGAGGATGAGAGAGAAGGAGGGCTTCACTGGTTCTGTCGTCCCCAGCAAAGAACCACAAGTGCAATGGCCCCACCTGCAGGGCATTACTGCAACCAGAGCCTCAGTCTTCAAATCCGCCAAAGAAGAGTAACAGCCACCTCACTCGCTTCTATGAGGGTGACATACGACTACATACATGAAGGTGCTTTGTAAACTATTAAGCGTTTACAAAATATAAAGAACTTTACTTTTTTACTTAACCAAATTTGGGGGTGGGGTTCTAAGGTCTAAGCTGCTATCAAGTATCTTCCCTTTACACCCGTTTTAAAGCACTTTCATATTTCTGTTCTCCTTATCCATTTTTAGAATGGAGAAACCCAGACTCAGACGTTTCCTGAGAAGCCCAAGGTCACAGGGTTCCTCATTGAGAGGAACTGGACCCTCCCTTCCCAATTCCAGTTTTCACAAAAGCAGAACCTAGGGACTTCCGCCTTTGGAACCATGGAAATGGGAGAGGGGTGGGGGCAACTGAAGGGATGGGAATGAAATGAAACCTCCCTGGACCTTACCTGTCCCTACCCACCCCCCTTAAGCCCTTCATTCTTTGGTGGTGGTTGTTGGTTGTTCAGTGGCTAAAGTCGTGTCCGACCTTTGGCGACCCCATGGACTGCAGCACGCCAGGCTTCCCTGTCCTTCACCATCTCCCCGAGTTTGCTCAAACTCCTTTCTTTGGGTTTGGCCATTGCAAATGGAATGGTCCATTCGTTCTCATAACCTCCGCGTCCATAATGGCAGGTCTGGGCGCTCATGATACAACACGCCTCCGGGCAGGCCTTGCGCTCCCCCAACCCTTCCAGGCCGACTCCCACCCGCTGTCCACGTCCCTAAGGACACTGTCCTGCTGGAGCTGGGGGGCAGCCTGTGCAAAGGCCTGAAGACAAGGCAAGGGCAAGTGGTGGCGCGTGGAGTCAGCGGGGCGGGGTAGAGACAAAGGTGGAGGTGAATAAGCACCGCCTTTTGAGAGCCGTTTGGGAGTCGAGACCGACCGTCCGTGAGCGTCACGCCGATCGGTGTCTCCGAGGTGCGTTCCGAGGGGAGCTCTGTGAGAGACGATCCCGAGGCCCTGGAGGTCTTCGGAGAGCCCCGCCTTTCTTCCCACCCCCACCCCAACCCCCGCGCGCAATCAGGGAGCCCGGATTCAAAGCAGATGCTCGCGAGCCGACGGAGGCCGGGCCGGGAGGCGGTGGGGAGACGCGGGCGGAGCCTACCGCTGGTGGGCGGCGGGGTCCCAGGGCCCCGGCAGCAGCGCGCTCCGCACCGCCTTGTTGCGGAGGGCGCTATCGTGGTAGATGCGGCTCATCCTCCCCACGGCCGCGGCGCGCTCGAGGGCTGGCGAACCGAGTGGGTACGCGGGGCTGGGGCAGCGTGAGGGGAAGCTTCCGGAGGACGCGCGGAGGCCGGCAATTCCCGGCGGCCGATCCGGGGCTGCGCGGCCCGGCCCCGGGCATTCCCGCGCGGGATTTAAAGGGGCCGAGCCCCATTCCTGTCCGCAGGACCTTGCTTGGTGGGAAGTGGGCTTCCGGGAGGACCGGGCTGGGGCCTTAGCCCGGAGGTAGGGGTGGGATGAGGGAGAGAGCCACTCTCTTCTCTTTTCTTTCCCTCGTCCTTGTTACTAGTGGGAGGCCCCTACTCCCTCCATGCACAAATGGGGAAATCGAGGCTCAGAGAACCCATAGGATCAGCTCTGATAGGATGCGTTTCTAGAGAGCAGAAATAGGAAAAAGGGAACGGCCCCTGAGGCGGCTCGGTGAAGAGTGCCTTCCTGCTCTTTTTGCCCAGGTGAGGTCTACAGTGGCCGAGGGAGGGGTTCTTGGGATCTGTCACGAAGGAGCCTAGGCTTGGGTGTCAGATCCGCTGACCTGCCAAGGCTGGAATCCGTGCTCTGTGAGCTTGGGCAAGTGCCTCAACCTCTCTGAGCTTCTTACTCTGTGAAACGGGGTCAAATCAGAGGGGTTGTAAGGGTTTAATGACTTCCCTGGTGGCTCAGTGGTAAAGAACCCTGCGCCAATGCGGGACACGCAGATTCGATCCCTGAATTGGGAGGATCCCCTGGAGAAGGAAATGGCAACACGCTCCAGTATTCTGGCCTGGAGAATTCCATGGACTGAGGAGCCTGGCGGGTCCTGCAGTGCACAGGGTCGCAAAGTGTCTGACGCTACTGAGCGACTAAGCACGCACGCTGTGCACTGCTATGTATAAAATAGATAACTAGCGAGGACCTACTGTAGGGCAGAGGGAACTCTCGGCAATACTCTAATGACCGGCGTAGAAAAAGAATCTCAAAAAGAGTGGCTAGATGTGTATGTGAACTGGTTCACTTTGCCGTACACCTGAAACTAACACAACATTGTAAATCAACTATACTCCAATAAAAATTTTTAAAAAAATAAAATTTGTCACTAAACCAAAATCACATAGCTGGTAAATAAAATCAGTTTTCAAACCGAAAAAAACAAAAATTCCCCAGGCTGATGTAAGGAACTCACATAACTCAATAGAAAAGTCGAGGGAAATGATTTTTAAAAATAGGTCAATGAACTAAATAGATATTTCTCCAAAGAAGACATACAGATGGACAAAAGATGTATGAAAACCGGCTCAGTATCACTAATGATCAGAAAAACGCAAACCAAAACCACAATAAGGTATCACCTCACACCTGTTAGAATGGCTATTATCAAAAAAAAAAAAAAGGTAAGTGTTAGCAAGGATGTGAAGAAAAGGGAACCCTTGTATGGCATTGATGGGAATGTAAATTGGTACAGCCACTATGGAAGACATTATGGAAGTTTCTCATGAAATTAAAAAGAAAACCACCAAATGATCCAGCAATCTCACTTCTGGGTATATGCACAAGGAAACTGAAAGCAAGACATCAAAGGAATGTCCACATGCCCATGTTTCTTTCACAACAGCCAAAAAGTAGAAGCAACCTAAATGTCCATCAGTGGATGAATGGAAAAGGAAAATGTGGTATATGCATACTATGGAATATTATTTGGATTGGAAAAAAGAAGGAAAGCCTGCCATTTGCTGCAAAATGGATGAACCTAGAAATGAAAGAAGCCAGGTACAAAAAGCCAAGTAGTGCATGATCTCATTTACATGGGGAATCTAAAATAATCAGACTCATAGAAACAGAGAGTGGAGAGGCTGTCAGGGTCTGAAAGGGGGAGGGAGAAACAGGCAGGTAGTAGTCAAAGGGCACAGTGTTTTAGGTGTACAAGATGAATAATACCTGGAGATCTATAACTACAAGGTGCCTATAGTTAACAATATTGTGTTATATACTTAAACATTAACTGTGGGTAGATCTTACACTGAATGTTCTTACACACACACAAACACATGCACACTACAAAATAATAAGAAGACTTGAGGAAACTTGGAGATGACAATGTTTACAGCATAGCTTGTAGTGATGGTTTCATGACTGTATACTTATCTCCAAGCTCATGAGGTGTATACCTTAAATATGTACAGCTTTTTGTATGTCAGTCATACCTGGGGACTTCCTGGTGCTCCAGTGGTTAGGACCCTGTGCTTCCAATGCAGGGAACTCAGATTCAATCCCTGGTTAGGGAATTAAGATACCACATGCTGCACCAAGGGGCAACAGACAAACCTGAATAAAATGATTTAAAAAACAAACCAACCAAAATATTCTCAGGTTGGTCACAGCCCCATGGCCAGAATACTGCGCCCCCCACCCCCCCACCTCCTTCCCCTTTCTGTATCATTTTTTTCCTTAAATGGCTCCAAATCTTCACTGCCTTTTATGGGAGCCACTAGCTATATGTGGCTATTTAAATTTAAATTTTAGTTCAGCGCAGTCGCTCAGTCGTGTCTGACTCTTTGCAACCTCATGGACTGTAGCACTCCAGGCTTCCCTGTCCATCACCAACTCCCGGAGCCTGCTCAAACTCATGTCCATCGAATCAGTGATGCCATCCAACCATCTCATCCTCTGTTGTCCCTTTCTCCTGCTTTCAATCTTTCCCAGAATCAGGGTCTTTTGAAATGAGTCAGTTCTTTGCATCAGGTGGCCAAAGTATTGGAGTTTCAGCTTCAACATCTGTCCTTCCAATGAATATTCAGGACTGATTTCCTTTAGGATGGACTGGTTGGATCTCCTTGCAGTCCAAGGGACTCTCAAGAGTCTTCTCCAACAACACAGTTCAAAAACATCAATTTTTCGGCACTCAGCTTTCTCAGCATACTCTGAGCATACTTTCTGAGCAACTCTCACATCCATACATGGCTACTGGAAAAAAACCATACATAACTTTGACTAGATGGACCTTTGTTGGCAAAGTAATGTCTCTGCTTTTTAATATGCTGTCTAGGTTGGTCATAGCTTTTCTTCCAAGGAGTAAGCATCTTTTAATTTCATGGCTGCAGTCACCATCTACAATGATTTTGGAGCCCAAGAAAATAAAATCTCTCACTGCTTTCATTGTTTCTCCATCTTATTGCCATGAAGTGATGGGACCGGATGCCATGATCTTAGTTTTTTGAATGTTGAGCTTTAAACCAGCTTTTTCACTCTCCTCTTTCACTTTCATCAAGAAGCTCTTTAGTTCCTTTTCACTTTCTGCCATAAAGGTGGTATCATCTGCATGTCTGAGGTTATTGATATTTCTCCTAGCAATCTTGATTCCGGCTTGTACTTCATCCAGTCTGGCATTTCGCATTATGTACTCTGCATATAAGTTAAATAAGCAGGGTGACAACATACAGCCTTGAAACACTCCTTTCCCAATTTGAAACCAGTCTGTTGTTCCATGTCCAGTTCTAACTGTTGCTTCTTGATCTGCATACAGATTTCTGAGGAGGCAGGTAAGGTGGTCTTGTATTCCTATCTCTTTAAGAATTTTCCACAGTCTGTTGTGATCTACACAGTCAAAGGCTTTGGCGTAGTCAGTAAAGCAGAAGTAGATGTTTTTCTGGAATTCTGTTGGTTTTTCTATGTTCCAACGGATGTTCGTAATTTGACCTCTGGTTCCTCTGCCTCTTCTAAATCCAGCTTGAACATCTGGATTTTTTAGTTGATTAAACCTAATCAAAATGTAAAGTTCAATTCTTCAGTCTCACTAGCTACATTTCAAGGGCTTAAAAGCTAGCAACATGTGATCAATGACTACCATGTAGGACAGTTCTGATAAGAACCTTTCCATCATTGCAGAAAGTCCTATTAGACTGCACTGTTGGAAATCCTTTCTTAGGAAGGGTAATCTGCTTATTGAGCTCTGTGACTTCATCCCATCAGCAGTCAGCTGACCACGCACCAGCAAGACGGGGAACCAAAAAGAACAAGAAAAAAAAATGTATTTTAAGTTCTGATATTTGTTTCCTAAAAAAGCATCAGTCATCATGGGGGGAAAAAAGAGCTTCGTTGGACTTTCTTACAACTATTTGTGGGTTATCAATGGCTCTATATTAAATTATAGACCATGAGGTACAGCATAAGGATTCCGAGGTGGCTCAGTGGTAAAGAATGCACCTGCCCATTCAGGAGACTCATGTTCAATCCCTGGGTTGGAAAGATCCCCTGGAGGAGGAAATGGCAACCCACTCCAGTATTCTTGCCTGGAGAATCCCATGGACAGAGGCACTGGCAGGCTACAGTCCATGGGGTCGGAAGCAGTCGGACACACCTGTGCACACACAAGGTACAACATAGAGATAGTTTAAGTTTCCTCAGTTCCATGGTCTCTTTTAAGGAGGGTTTGAAGTTCCCTAACAAGGTGTTCATGTGGGTATCTGCTTTTGTTTTCATAGGTAAGAAGGCAATTTTGGTGTAGTCAATTAAGAACACTACCTCCTTTTGCCCAAATTTTTATTTGCCTTATGTCAGATAATGGAGTGAAAGCTGACATGAGATACATCTAGTTTGGGTTTTGTAGAATAAATTTATGTGGCCTGTAGTCCTTCCCACCTATAATTCAGTTTTCGACAGCTGTCCTGGTGTAGGAGTGCCCTGCCACCCTCTGTGATGATGCATCTGGTATAGGGCACAAAGTGGGTGACCCCAGGGAGAAGGTCAAGGGGTCCCATCACAGGAAAACATGCTCCGACTGTGGGGAGT